CCCCGCTTCTTCACAGACACTGTCCGCTGGATTCTCACTCGTGTCTCACCATCAACACCTTGTTGCCCTCCTTTCACTCCACCCACTTCCTCTTAAAGTCCTTACTGTGAAGAATGCTGTCACCATTTTATCTAAGCAAGAAAACGAAGAGTTCACCATGACTCCCTGCCCCTCCCCTCCCCTCAATGACATTTATCTTTTCTTCCATTCCTTCAATCGCCAGATTCAGGAGATTGCAATTTGCCTACATCCACTATTACGTCTGTTCCTTCCCCTTTATCACCCCCACATCTGCTGTATTCACCTCTTTGTGTCTCTTGACTGGGTCCCTGCAACTGTCTTTTGCTGGCCACTCTGTCACTTGTCAGCTTTGTGCAGGGGGACCAGACTGTCTGGGTTTGAATCCTTGTTCCATTATGGAGTGGTTGTATGACTCAGAACGGGATTAGCTTTTCTAGACTGTGTGATTTAGTTTAGAGGGGAATCACAAAGAGAACAGGTTTAGCTCAACACAGAATTCAGAGCTCATACGAGTTATGGAATGTTTACAATGTGCTAAACTCTATACGTTTATATACTTCTTTTTCAATTAATTTCACTTAATCCTCTTATGTGGCATCAGGATTGTTACTGTGATGGGAATTGAAGGCCTAAGGCTACAGTCATGTAGCTGGTAAATGGGCATGCTGGGATTTCAAACATGGGCTGTCTGACTCCAGTGCCATATTCTTAAACACCTTGCTCCTTCTGTATCTTTTAGTAGATCATAAGTCTATCTCCAAGTGTTGGGAGTATTCATCAAATGGTCTTTTATTCCAACACAGTTAGCACACCAGTAGTTGATCAGCCTGAGCCCATTTTCAGGGCCAGTACTAATCCTCTGGACAGACGTGAATGGGTTTACAATTTGCTCTGGTCTGAACTGTGCCCCCTCGTAATTTCCGTGTTGAAGCTCTGATTCCCACTGTGGCTGTATTTGGAGACAGGTTTAGGAGGTAGTTAAAATTAAATGAGGCCATAGGGTGGAGCCCTGATTCCTTCGGACTGGTGTCCCAATGATAAGATGAGACAAGAGGACACAGAGAGGTGGCCGTAGGCAAGCCAGGAAGAGGGCCTCCAGCACACCAAACCCTGCTGGGCTCTCACCCTGGACTTGCCAGCCTCCAGAACTGTCAGGACATTCATTTCTGTTGCGTAAGCCTACAGTTTGTGGTGTTTTGTTGTTTCAGCCCAAGTTAAGACACAAGTCAAAGTTTTGAGAACCACTCTGAACTTTTGGTGTTTTGACAAATTAAAGGACAACCTGAATTCCTGGGATGAAATTCAGCTGCATGTAAACAGTGGTAGCTTCAAGTCCATAAAATTGTAGTTAATAGTTTCTACAATAGAATGATATAGAAATTGTGAGTAAAACACAACGACCACATTGCTTCCTTTTCCAGGTCTGTAAGAGAGGGTTATGGTTTTCTGACTTTAGAAAAATTAAGGCATAGGAATTTCTACTGAAATTCTACTTTAAAAGTCACAGTGCCACAGGAGGCTGCAGTGAAAGGAAGGCCGCATACTGGTGAGAACGCGTCCCAGGTGTCCACACAGCACAAAGCCACTGTGTGACTCAAAAACTGCTGATGAGTCAACAGTAGGCATTACTGTGAATTAAGAATTTATTTGAAAAAAGAGCAATCAAAATCACACAATGGAGACTATTCCATGTTTCTGTGACTGCACCAAGCGCTTCCTCCCAGAGGAACTAAATTCGCACCTTGAGGTTATACCAGCATTCTGGTTTATGCTAACAGCCAAATACAAAAGGGAGGCAGCGAATGTCCCCAAGAGATTGCTTCCTCCCTGAAAGATGTGTTCCTGGCAGAGAAACATCAGACACAGAAAAATGGAACAGGAAATACATGAATAAAGCAATCTCCCCCCCACAATGAATCCTTCCCACAGTCGACCATTTTAAAATTGAGTAACAGTGGAAAAAGAACAGTATTAAATGAGTAATTATGTGGCACATGATGGCTCTCCCCCAGTGGAGAATTCACAATGTGGTCAACAAAAAATGTGGAAGAAAAATCAGTGGCCTCTATTAGAACTGTCTGAACTCAGTGGCATAAAAAAAGGTTTTTATACCTCTTCTGAATTGTGACCCTCCCAGCATATATTGAAGCCCTACCCCCTAAAGTGACTGCACTTGGAAATAGGGCCTTTAAGAAGGTAATTACGGCAAATGAGGTCATAAGGGTGAGGCCCTAATGCCATTGTTCTCTCTCCCCCTGAGCAGAGGGGCACTGAGCAAAGGCCATGTGAGGACACAGCAAGAAGGTGGGTGTCTCCAAGCCAGGAGGAGAGGCCTCACCAGAACCGAATCTTGCTGGACCTTGAACATGGACTTCCAGCCTCCAAAACTGTGAAACAATAATTGTCTGTTGTTTAAGTCACTCAGTCTGTGGTATTTTTGTTATGGCAGCTCAAGCTGACTAATAACACAGCTTGTGCTCCAGATGTAGAATTGTCTGAAAATCTCTCCCCACAATGCACCCTCCCCATCTACCACCTGATGGAGGTCCCTTTCTCCAACCTGTCCCCTCCCCATTCCTACTACAATGCTTTGATTCTGATGCCATGATCTCTTCTGGGTCTGCTACCTTCTAACTGGAACTTTCATCTTATGTCCCCCACACCTCTGCACCCCCTTAAAATCCAGCCTCCCCACACCTGAAAGAATGCTCCAACTAAAAGTTACAGTGGGACCATCATTCTGTTCATTAATCCTCATTATCACAGTGGCTCGCAGACTCTTGTGCCCTTAGCACCACATGAGGTACTAAGTCCTATGTAGGGAAACAAAGCTCAGGTCATTGCGTGGACCTACAGGGAGCCAGAGTACCCATGAAGCCATGCCAGTTGCAACAGAGTGCTGTATGAAGAGTGCAGATAGGATTCAATATGGACACAAGGGAGTTGGCCATGTATTCCCACCTGAGGTCTCTGGGCAGGTCATCTGGAAGAAATATGGTTGTGGAAGATAGGGCTAGCCTCAGACTAGTAGGCATGGAGAAGGACGTGTGTCCTTCGTGAGCCTGTGAGTTCTCTGTCCCCTGCTGCACATTTGCAGAATAAATAAGTGGGGTCAATGAGCAAGATAAATGGTTATTTAACAAAATGGCAGCAGAAGCATTTGAGGATAATACTGGTCAGTAAATCATGCTTCTGATTCAAAGATTTTCCGCCAAGTCTATGCTAAATCCTAACAAAACCAAGAACCTTTCTGTGTTTAAAGTCAACCTGATACAAAAACAGTATATGTCTTACTCTTGACATCATTGGGTGGAATATACTCCCCCTCCAAAGTGTGAGTCATTTCATTCAATGTCATTTCAGATATGAGACTGATTTACAAACTATATTAGGCTATGAGATAATATCTTGAAAGAGGATAGGTATTCAACATGTGTTACAAGAAGTTGACTCTTTGGAGCTCACCATCCCATTCTTTAGACCTTACCTCCCAGTTCCCTTTCACAGAATCATAAGTTTATTAATTTTTGTATGACCAAGTATCTTCTACTTAACATATCTTTTTAATTTTTAAAATATTTCTTTCAAACGCACAATGACATTAAAGCATAACTGCCATAATTCTAGACCTGATTTTATTCTCCTGTATCTTGAGCTCAGAGTCCTCTCCTTTTTGAGTTAATCTGGTGCATTTAAAAACTCTTTGGTGAGAGCAATTTCTAATTAATTTCCTTTCAGAAAAATAAGTGGGTGGAGGTATACTTTGAGCATTTGCCTATCTGAAAATCTGTTTTGCCCTCCTACACAAACACTGATTTAAGGAGGTATGAAATTTTAGGAGTATGAACCAGTATTTTCGGACCTCTGGAAACATTGCTCTCTCATATTCTAGAAGTTAGTGTTGTAGGTGAGAACTGCTTCTGAGCGGGTCGTCCTCATTTTTCGGGTATCTTGATTGTTTATTTTGCTTCTTTGTTTCTCCCCACAATTTTCCCTTTATCCTAGAATTTATGCGTTCCACAAGGGTACAGCAGCTAGGTTTGTGTTGCTTTATTGATTGATTCTTGCAGTAAGTGAGCCTTTTTAAACTGAAGACTTAACTGTTCTTTAGATCTTGAATACAACTCATTCCTAAGCCGGCATCTTACCCAAGTCATGGAGTAGATCCTTTCCCTATGCACAGCAAAGTACAAAGGGAACAAGTATTCTTCGTCACAAAATTCAGGTCACAAGCTCACATCTTAATTTATTTTTTTTCCGTGTTGAAATTTAAAAGCAAGTAGTATCAGGATTCGTGATTTTTTTTTGACTCTACAGTAGAGTGCTTAGAAGATGTTTTCCAATGGTAAGCTCACAGAAGCACTATTAACGCTTGCCACAGCCAGCGCTCTGAGGAAACACTAGCAAGTCATGTAGCAGTTCATTACTTTAAAACGCTGTGCATGCAGTTAGCACAGCGGACAGCGCTTTGGGGGCCTGCCACGCTGTCCTGCTTCTGGTATCTGAAGGAGGAGCGAACATTCTGAGCCAACCAGGGCTGAATTCACTCAATGAAACAGAAGCGCCACATCTTCGCTGTGTTACTTCTCAAAAGGGAACAAGCCGCACCCCCCCGCAAGCCGGCTATTCTGCTGTGATGGGAATAAAAGCTTTGTGGTCAAGCTAAAAAGCCTTATAAACTCCTCTAGCTGGTGTTCTTAAAACAAAAGTGCAGCAAGACTCCCACTCCTGCAGGAAATAGAGGCCGAGTTAGCCATCCCTGTGGGTTACATGCTGTGGAAAGAAATCAATTGAGCGGGGAAAATTCCCAGAGAAGCTCATTAATTAGTAATAAGTGAGCAACTGGCTCAAATGACAAGGTGTGGAAAAGGGTAAAATCACCCGGTAACACGTCCTCGGCCAAATAGCAGGGGCAGATGTTGACCGGCTAACCTTCCCCTTCCGCGCCCGCGCGGCCCGCGGCCGCCGATAGCACCTACCGAGCAGCAGCAGCCGGTGCGTGCGCTGCAGGTCCCGCTTCTGCTCGCGGAGCATGCGGTCGATGCCCCTGCTCACCCTCCTCGCCTCGCGCTCGGCCTCGCGCTCCTCGGCGCGCAGCTGGTCCGGCCGCCGCCGCCTCTCCTTCTCCGGGACGGCTTTGGGCCGCGCGCGTGCCGGGCTCCCGCCGGCGCCCCGAGGGGCCCGGAGCCGGGCCGCGTCTGCTCCCAGGGTCAGGGCCGGAGAGGCCCGCGCGCTGTCCGCGGGCTCATCCGAGGCGGAGTCCTCCGGGTCTCCGAAGAGCAGCGGCCGCAAGCTGTAGCACAGACCCATGTGGGAGCGGCGGGGCTCAAGCCCGGACACCCGCGCACGGGCGCGCGGGTGCTACACCTGGACCCAGCGCGGCGGGGCCGCCCGTAGGCTGCCGGGCGCGAGAGCGGTGGGTGCGGGCCCACGGCCGCGGCCCCTCACGGTCCCCGCGGGCCATTGTGCATCCTTCGCCGGTGCAGGGGGTGGCAGCCGCCAGGGCTGGAGGTCACCTGACGGCGCAGAGACTGGCCGCGCCGACGGGCTTCCGCCAGCCCTGCCCTCTACGGTAAGGGCCGCCTCCAGGGCCTGCCCCTTACCGTAAAGACCGCCCCCGAGACGGTCGGCGCCGCACGCGGGTCTTCATACCGTAAATACCGCTGCCGAATCCCGAGAGGCAGCTGCGGACGCTGCCGCCACCACCCGAAGCTGCAGTTGCAGCACTTAAAACACCACCGTGGTTTTGATCTTGGACAGTGGTAAACAAAAACGTAGAGCCGGGTGAAGGGAAAGAGATGCTAGCTTTAACATCTTGAATTCCCGCTTGTGCTGCCTATAGAGATTACTGCACCTGCGGCTCCTTTTTCTACTCCCGCACATCTTAAATAATGCACACGTGTCTGCACGCTTTTGATCCCTTACGTTAATTCTTTTACCTTTGATCTCAACAAAATCTCCGAATCAGGAGGTCCATGATACCATTTTCAAAAATTATCACAGTATTAAAAAATTGAAAGCGAGCACATATAACTGTCATATACTACTTATGTTTGCTAAAGAGAGAATATGAAATTGCACTCTGTATCCGATTTTTTAATGCACAACGTAGCAGAGAGAGGAGCAGAGGCGCATTCAGACCCAGTGCTCTCTCTCCAGGCCTGGTGGGGATACAAAACCATCGGAGACCCCCCAACTTCCTCGGTTATTTCCCACTTAATATTCATCTTTTCATAGACCTTTTGCAAGTGCGAATCTGTAAAGAGAAGGAAAAGGTTTCTCTGAAAAGTGATGGCGGACAGTCCATTTTAAATAGGGAGAGGAGGGGTTTGTGTATGATACAGGGACAGCCTTTCGGAGGGAGGGATATTTAAATTAAGAACCAAAGGATACATACAAATTCCTTTTCTGTTATAACTTGTTAGCTATATCAACTAGTATCACACGAGATAGATAACATTTTGTTTATAAAAGTCAGCTGAAAATAAAAACAAACATTATAGGAATTTTTTAGGTACTTAAAATGTATGTAAATGAGAGTTCACTCACATTTTCTTAGAAGGAACAGACAATGCTCTCTGTTACCCTATATGACTAAAAAAATTCCTGATATCCCATTAAAGAATCCTAGGAAGACAAATGCTCTGGTTTTGTTTTGTTTTGTTTTGTCTTGTTTAGGCCCACATTTAAATTTCAAACACTTTTAATGATATGCCAATTATAAAATTGTAATATGTGGTCTATGCATAGGATAAATTGGAATATTCAGTATTTATAAATCACTGTAATAGTGAATGCTTTCTCTTTAATCCAGAATTAGTTTTAATTCACAAATCATTGGATCATATATATAAGCAATTTCTAATAATGCCAAAGAATGATTATGAATCTGGAAGAGAAATCATGAGGGGACTCTAAGGTAAATGTAAAATTATAGCTCATCAAGGTATACTTTTATGTTTAATCTTAATTGATGCCAATACAATTATTTCATTCTGAATCCATCTTCCTTTGAACTTCCTAAGAGCAAACAGAATTATGATGCAGTGAAAGGTTATCTTTAAGGTCTTTGTGTGGAATCATTTAATTGATTAAAGTGGCATTTTATTATTGTACATTTTTGCACATTTTGACACTGTTCCATTGGAAACAAGTAAAATTAAAGAAAACAGTTAAGAACAATTTGGTTTCCTCCTCCCCTGAATTGGAGCAATATTGGATTAGTATAGTATGTACTCATAGATGATTCATTAAATAATGACATAACTTCAAGAATGCAGTTCTTGTAGTTATTAAACATGAAGGAGCAAGGCTGATAAGATTTTTCAGTTTCTGCAATCTCAACTTTTGAGGCTTAAAATTTGTTGTGGTAGGGGTTGGCCACTGTATTGTAGGATGTTTTAGTAGCATCCCTGACCTCTACCCAGCAGCACCCTTCCCAAATAGTGACATCAAAAAAATGTCTCATGTATGCTAAATGTCCACTTAGGCAAAGTTGCCCCCAGTTGAGGACTGTGGTTTCAATAGATCTGCAGAGTATCTTGGTAGAACTGATCAATTAAAAATTATGATATTTGTATCTCCTATCTCAATGCACTGGAAAGTAATCAAAGAGAGTATATCATTGAAAGATAAGTTCAATGGGTGAGATGTGAGTTTGACTTTTTGCCTGAGTATATCCCCCAAACTGCAATCCTTGAACAGAAAAAGCCACAGTATTATTGGTAGGACTGGGCCCCAGATTTTGGGGCCCAATACAAAATGAAAATTGTATGCCCCTTGTTGAAAAATTAAGAATTTTAATACAGTAGTAGTAACCAGGCATGGAGCCTGTGTGACTTTTCAGGTTACATGCCTATGCATCTGGCCTACCTACTGGCTTATGATGTCAGAGAATAGTATATAGAGTTGTGGAAACAGCAAGAAAGTTATCAGTGAAATCCTAGAAAGGAGGGAACTTTAGAAGTGTGGGCTGCACAAATCTGTACATAAAAATCTCAAATCTTTGGCCGACATCTAAACCACAACAGATTGAAAAGACCCTGGTGGAGGGGACTGACAAGATGGCAGCGTGAGTACAGCAGCAGAAATCTCCTCCCAAAACCACATATATTTTTTTTTTTTGAGAGGGCATCTCTCATATTTATTGATCAAATGGTTGTTAACAACAATAAAATTCAGTATAGGGGGTCAATGCTCAATGTACAATCATTAATCCATCTCAAGTCTAATTCTCGTCAGTCTCCAATCTTCTGAAGCATAACGAACAAGTTCTTACATGGTGAACGAATTCTTACATAGTGAATAAATTCTTACATGGTGAACAGTACAAGGGCATTCATCACAGAAACTTTCGGTTTTGATCATGCATTATGACCTATAAACAATCAGGTCAAATATGAATATTCGTTTGATTTTTGTACTTGATTTATATGTTGATCCCACATTTCTCCTATTATTATTATTATTTTTATTTTTAATAAAATGCTGAAGTGGTAGGTAGATGCAAGATAAAGGTAGAAAACATAGTTTAGTGCTGTAAGAGGGCAAATGTAGATGATCAGATGATCAGGTGTGTGCCTATGGACTAAGTATTAATCCAGGCTAGACAAGGGCAGCAAGACATCCACGGATGCAGAAGATTTCTCTCAAAGCAGGGGGGGTGAGGTTCTGAGCCTCACCTCTGTTGATCCCCAAATTCTCACCTGATGGCCCCCCTGCGACTGTGCCTGTCTTAGGTTGTTCCTCCCTTGAGGAATCTTACCCGTCTCTGGCTAACCAGTCATCTTCCGGGGCCATACAGGGAAATGTAAAGTTGGTAAGTGAGAGAGAAGCCATATTGTTTGCAAAGGTTAGCTTTTTACTTCTTTGCAGATTTATGCCCTGTGGCTTCTATGCCCAGCACTTGTCTCGAGGTATCTTTACCACCTGGAGGAATTATGATACTCGGTAAATTCGATATGAGGCACGAATTCTATTTAAGGGTTGTAATTAGGAAGGAAGAAGAAAAGCTATAGATGTAGCATATGAAGGAAACTTGGGAGGATTGATTATTTCTTTGACATATCTTCTTGTATAGTACCTTAAGTATGTATAGGTTTTAAACTACTAACTAATTTGCACACACATATTAACATAATAGGAATACGGTGACATAAACAAAGCAAATCTATAATTACCAGCCATCTCCAGTGAAGCCAAGAAAACCATTTAGGCACCCTAGGCATTTGTGAAAATTTATCTATGATATGATGGATATTTTCCAACTGTACTTGAACCATCAGACAAATTAAAGCAGCCCATTTCTGGGATCTGTTCACATCCCATATGTTCTTTTAACCATAGATAGTCTATAGTCATGAGATTTTGGGGTGCTACAACTTGCACCCCTCCCAACTCCTGGTTGAGTTCCAACAGTACAGATCCAGTCAAATTCGTTGTCTCACTGTATGCACATGCCAGCCTAGACATCTCCCTCCTCCTTCTTATGGCAAGTCCAGGAGACGGTGGGCTGGATGCAGCCACAACCGCAGCATCGTCCGGATCCCTGTGGAGGCTTTTTGATGATCATCCCCCGGCACGAGTCCTCCAGAGAGTGCTGATGCCGGAAGCTCCTCCTCATATCGTATCTTAGTTCATTTTCTGGGTATCCAAGCTAGGCCTTGATCTTCTGCGTAGAAACAAACAGACCCTTTGCCCACACTTTGACATGCCCTCTATACCACTGTGCAGAACTCATTGGAGGTCAGCACACAGTAACTGCTTTTTTTTTTTTTTTTTAATTAAGAGAAAGGAATATTATCAGAAAAGAGTACCTCCATAGCTGATCATCTGACACCCTTTAAGTGATCAACATTAAGGATATTTAAAGCATGCGTTGATCTTTGATTTACCAATAGTTTTATCCTGTTAAGGAGTAATCCCCCTTTTCTTTCTTTCTTTCTTTTTTTTTTTTAAATTTTTAATCTACACTTACCTGAAGAATACTATGTTTACTATGCTCTCCCCTATATCAGGTCCCCCCTAACAACCACATTACGGTTACTGTCCATCAGCTTAGCAAAATGTGGTAGAGTCACTACTTGTCCTCTCTGTGTTGTGCAGCCCACCCTCCCCTTTCTCCCTCCCCCCCATGCATGCTAATCTTAATACCCCCCTTCTTCTTCCCCCCCCTTATCCCTCCCTGCCCACCCATCCTCCCCAGTTCCTTTCCCTTTGGTACCTGTTAGTCCATTTTTGGGTTCTGTAATTCTGCTGCTGTTTTGTTCCTTCAGTTTTTCCTTTGTTCCTATACTCCTCAGATGAGTGAAATCATTTGGTATTTCTCTTTCTCCGCTTGGCTTATTTCACTGAGCATAATACTCTCCAGCTCCATCCATGTTGCTGCAAATGGTTGGATTTTTCCACTTCTTATGGCTGAGTAGTATTCCATTGTGTATATGTACCACATCTTCTTTATCCATTCATCTACCGATGGACATTTAGGTTGCTTCCAATTCTTGGCTATTGTAAATAGTGCTGCGATAAACATAGGAGTGCATCTGTCTTTCTCAA